TTAGTGAAGTTAGGAACTAAAGGAATTTTGCATCTTTAAATTAATCTCTTATTCTTTAAAAAACTTGAGAGGCAGAAATAAAATGTCTTAAGCCTAAGACATATACATACAAAATGATAAATTGCAATAATACTGAATTAGTTTATTCTTATTTGAATTCCAGCTTTTTAGAAATTGGCTTTTTAAAATTGTCTTCAAGGTTTTCTTTCCTATAATAGTGAAATTGTTTTTTCTAACTCAGCATTTTACATCTACATGTTTAGCTACTTTTGTTTTTACTGTCTCATCCTTAAGTTCTGTAGCAAATAGCCAAATTTTGCAAACTATGGGTTTCTTTCACATGTGAGTAGAATTTTTCTTCAGAAAAAAAGTAAAGTGGCATCTTGTATAACATAGTATTGTAATGGTATTCAAGAATATATGCATGCATGTATGCTTTGTAAGAGCTCTATTATTACATTTTTGTAATTGAAGTTGGAAAGGAATTCTTTAGTACACTGATGGTTACAGTGATCAAAGGTAATATGTCCCCTACTCTGCTAACTTGGAAATGTTAAAATAGTTAGCCTTGAACAATGCAGGGGTTACAAGTACTGAGCCCCATGTAGTCAAAAATCCACATATAACTTTTGACTCCCCAAAACATTAACTACTATTAGTCTGCTGTTGACCAGAACCTTACCTATAACATAATCAGTTTATTAACACATTTTTATATGTGTTTTATATACTGCATTCTTACAAGTAAGCTAGAGAAAAGAAAATGTCATTAAGAAGATCATAAGCTAAAGATACTCTACAGTACTGTATGTTTTTGTTAAAAAAATTCCACGTATAAGTGTACCCATGCAGTTCAAATATGCCTGTTGTTCAAGGGTTAACTGTATTAAGGCCAACCCAAACTCCTAAAGAATATTTTTGTTAATAGATTTTGAGACACTTAAAATAGTGCAAGTAGAATTTCTTGGGTTAATTGCGTTTTCAGTTTTCATGGATATGCAGAGAACACAAAGGCATTACTTTTGATTGGTTATAAACTTTAATAGTGTCGATTTTTTAAGTAAAATTTAAAATAAATTGAGGTTTAGATTGAAGTAACTCACATAAAATACTATTTAAATGGTTTCATATTTCAGAATATCAATAGTGAAATGAACTTTTTGACACAGTTTGTGGTTAGAATAGATCCTGTCAGTGTATTTTAAGATTATATGTGAAATGGGATCACAACTCAGTGAATATTTGAAAATATAATTTAGTAAAGAAAATCAGATGTTTTACTTTTGAGTGATTGGTGAAATACTTTATGTAATTATATTGTCCATGCTACTAGGTCAATTAAACCTTTTCCATTCTAGAATATTATATTGTCATATAAGGTTTTTTGAGATAAAAGAAAATATAGGAAGCCATACCAAACATCTTTAGACTATCCTAATAGCCCAAACGGGAGAGAGGAAGTTTGTAAGTAACATTAGAATAGTCAGTTATCTTGTTCTTTAAAGTAGGAATAGTGTTTTGGTGATAACATTTTATTGCCTTGACTTTTTTCTGCTTTTCTCAATCATGGCAACTCATGATTTCTTGGGGAAAAAAAAAAAAAGCAGCTGATTTCTGAATTCATTAGTATTTAGTGTATTTAGTTGTTACCATGTTATGTGCTTTGAAATTTTTAGTTTATATACTTCATACTCTTTATTTTATTATAACTGAATATGACCTTCATTGTGGTAACTTTTTACATGGTGAACATTTAAAAACAGATCTTTGCTTTTAGTCCAGATAAAGTGATTTTCTTACTTTGGTTTTACCATTTTGTAGTGTTTCTCTGGTAGTTCTTCAAGGGCTGCTCTGTATTTTGCGTTGTGGGGGCAGAGGGATGGTTTGAAGAAGGATGGTATTTTAGGAAGACTAATAGGGAGAAAGAAGCTGTCTCATCCTTACTTTTTAATCAGATTAGCTCTACTTGTTTTTATTTTTTGGACATTATTCAAAAATTGCATTTAAAGAAAGATTTCCATAGTTTACAAAAGGCTGGGAGCCACTACTCTGTTTTTCATGGTCTTTCGGTTTTCATATCAAAACTGAAGTAAATTCTGATATTTTTCAGGTCAGACAGTATCATCTCTACACAGTACTGTAAATAATATTTCTGCTATATTTCTTTCAGATTTTTAGTATAAGATTAAAAGTCCTAAAATTGGATTTATATCATTATAAGGTTATAACTTTTATTTTTTAAAACAGTAGAGCCTTGCCTCTAAGTGGACTGTTTTTGTAAAAATGATATATGTTTAAATCTGTGGAGCCACTTTGTTTGAATTTGGGGCAGGTATTGGAACCACCTCCTCAATAACTCCTGAGATTTATTCTCCGAACCCTGGGACTCCATAGGTCACAATTTGGAAATTGCAGATATTCTGATCTTTGTATTTTAGATACTTCAGAATTTTATGATAAAAAAATGTATGAAGATTTTATGTTGGAGAATAGTACATATCAGATAAATTTCCACAGTTCTTCTGAGGTTGCCATAGCTAATATTTTTAGTATTTAACAATCTTCACTGCATAATATATTGCTTGGAGTAAGAAATGGTATAGCATATAGCCAAGTACAAATTATGCAGTGTCTGATTTTGCAGTTTGAGAGTTGCTCATACTTGTGTCTGCTTTGATCATTTCCCATATTCATCTTTTTAGGCATCTCAGTTGGTCTCTATAAAATGATCAAGGGAAGTAGGTGACACATAAATTAAATCACTTAATTATAATTATGGGGGTGGATGAATGGTGCAAAATTTAAGGAGTCCATCACTCTCAGGGTTATGCAGTACTTGTAGGACCCTGAGAGTGAGTTCCTCCTTAAATTTTGTACGCTGGCCACCTCACTGATCTCTCCTTGTCTGCTTTGACTAATGGAGATGTACTGCCAAAAAGTTTTAGGGAGAGCAATTTGAGAGCCATTGGTCTATAAAGTCAAATTTTACTCTGGATCAGAATCATCTGGAGGACTTGAAATACAAATTACCCTATCTCAGTTACAGATTTTGGTTAAGATCTGATTGGGGCCTGAGAATTTCCATGTCTGAAAATATCCCAGGTGATGTTTATGCTACTAATCTGGGCACTACTCTAGGACCACGAATGTAGGTAATACTCTTTAGACTAGTTGAGGGTTTATTTATACTTCTCAGGCTCTAGGTATAATGGATAAGGTAGAACTTGAAGGCAGATATACTTATTAGTAAAACAGAGAGTGAGAAGTTCTAGAAAATGTTTTATAATAAAATCAGTGAAGGTAGAAGTTTAAATAATGAAGAATACTTTCAAAATACTATATAAGTGATTTCTATCCAACATGACTTAAAATTACTAATTTTAATAATTTTTGAGAAGTCTGATTAATAAGCCCACCATTTTTTCTAATTTCTCATAGCTGAATTATTCAACAGAATTGCCTATTTGCATATTACTTATTTTGAGTATAATTTTTATAATTTTATGTCTAAGTTTTAAAATTAATGTTATTTTTATCAATCTAATTTATACAGTTTGGATTCTATAACATGGTGGACTGGGCTAGTTAACATTCACTTCTTTCTCCCACTAAACACACATAAAAATAAGGGATAAAACATGACAACAACCAAAGTATTGAATGCCTCATTATGTTCAAAAGATAGAAATTTTTAAATGCCTGACTATAAGAGAGAACTTCAAACCACAGTAAGTCCCTGAGTGGCGTGGCAACTCAAATGAGATAGCTTATGAAATAAAAGCCGTAGGCTACACAGGGTCTACATGTCTACATTACAGCCTTGAGCCTGAGCAGCAGGAGATAAAACTAAGGCCTTTTGATATAGGTAGGGCCCTGGAAATTTCTGCCCTTTTAGTTTTTAGGGGTGGTGGGATCTGTTCATGGCCCAGAGGTGAAAAGAGGAAGTTTCTTTGACAGAGGTGCCAGGTAGAGGTAAATAAACAGTCTCCCTTGGGAAATAGAAGCCACACACCCTAACCCAAAGGTGGATTTGGATTTGCAGTTTGAATTTGCTTAGTATGGGAATCTTAAACAACATGAATTCATGTAAAAATGGGTTCTGTACTGATGGAACTCCTGAGGTACCAGGTGGGAGCAAACATAAAAGTGCCAATAAAAGCACTTTACAACCCAAGGTAAATCCCTAATGAAGGTGAATTTATAGTCAGAAACTAAAAATTTTATGAAGAAAAGGTTCATCACAAAGAAGAATCAGGTTATACAGCTATCAGACATAGTTGAAGAGAGAATTAATAAGTTGAAAGCTAGCATTAAGGAATACAGCATACAGAATGTAGCACAGAAAAACAGAAAAATTAAAATCAAGTAAAATCAAAAGGCATATATCAGAATAAGGATTATCTTTTCCTAATCCTTCCTTACCTATTCTGTTCCCTAGATATAATCACTCTCAATACTTTTAATATTACTTGTATTCTCTATATCCCTATTTAAAATTATAATGTTGTCTTTTGATTTATCAGTCACTTTCAGTTTTTGATATTTTGGATTAAATATCAATCAAGCTTTATAATATTGATACTACTTTCATATTGTTTATGGCTCAGCCAAGTTGGTACTGTGGTTGCTTTTCATTTTTGCTACAAATTTTGTTTTT